CCGTCGGTTATGTAACGGTTGGCTATAAATGGGACACTGGGTGATTCTGGGATTCTATGTTCTAGAACAGTTATTCATGTTCTAACAAAATGGAAACTTCCGAGTTTACTGAGTTATTCCCTGGTTTTCCACATGAACTCGGTCTTGAGTGCCTGACGAGGTTACCCTACACCGGTCACCGGGTGGCTTCCGGTGTTTGCCGGCGATGGCGGGATTTACTGCAAAGTCAGGATTTTTATTATCACAGACAGAGGTATGGGTTTACGCATAAAATTGCTTGCTTGGTTCAAGCTTTTAGTGCTGGAGTCGTTGATGGGCGAAAGCATGGGGATTCATTGTGTTATGGGGTTGCTGTGTTTGACTCTGTGAGTCGGACATGGGAGCGACTTGACCCGGTGCCGACTCACCCAAATGGGTTACCTTTGTTCTGTCAGTTGGCAAGTTGTGAAGGGAAATTGGTGGTGATGGGTGGGTGGGACCCGGTGAGTTACGACCCGATTAGGGATGTTTCCGTCTATGATTTTACGACGCAGCGGTGGAGACAGGGGAAGGAGATGCCGTCAAAGCGGTCGTTTTTCGCAATCGGGGCATGTTCGGGTCGGGTGTACGTGGCGGGAGGGCACGACGAGAACAAGAACGCTTTGAAAACCGGGTTGGTTTATGATCTGAGAATGGACGAGTGGACGGAGTTGCCTCCGATGAGTAAAGAACGAGACGAATGTGAAGGGATGGTCATCGGCGATGAGTTCTGGGTGGTAAGCGGATACGGTACAGACAATCAAGGAGAATTCGACGGTAGCGCGGATGTGTACGGATTCCGGTCCGGTCAATGGAAGCGGGTCAAGGGCGTTTGGGAGGCGGGTCGATGCCCGAGATCATGCGTTGGAGTGGGGAAAGATGGGAAATTGGAGAGCTGGACTGACTTGGACCCCGCAATCAAGGTGGGAACATACGGGGTTATGTTAGGGGGGCAGGTCCTGGTTACAGGGTCAGAGTACCAAGGCGCACCACATTGTTTCTTCATGGTGGAAATAAACGATGGGAAGAAAGGGAAATTGGAAAGCATCGTGGTTCCTGATGATTTTTCTGGCTTTGTTCAATCAGGCTGCTGTGTGGAGATCTGATCCTGTGTAAAAGCCAAACAGGATGAGAGGTATACTTTTTGATGTAAATTTCTCCCAAATTATGAGTATATAGTGTAAATTTGTCTCTGTACTGTTAGTTAGAATGAGAATCTACTTCTGTATGATATGAGATGGCATGAAATTTTGATGCTTTTTGTATAGATTTTGACTGGAGTGTTCTGCAATATGCAATATGTTTTGATATATAATTGGGGTTTGAAATTCAAAACTAGTTTCCAGAACAGATCCATGAGATGTTAAAGATTTTTATGTCAGGTAGAGTTGAGTCAAGTACTGGTGGAGGATGAGAAAATATATTTTTGATTAGTCTTTTGATCGAATTTCACAGGCTGGACGTTCTTGTAAGGACATGAATTATGTACAAAAGACGTAGTTTTAGTGGATCCTAGGGACAAATTAAGGTTCAAGAATTTATTTTACTTCATCAGTTGTCACCTGATGGCTGTTAAAAAAAAAAGTTGTCACCTGATGCAGTTTTAAATTTTCCCAGTAATTCATAGGCCGCATAACATGTTATTGATAAGGATTATCAAAATGGAAAACAGATAGTTCTGAGGCGTGATCTCACTCTCCTTAAGGATTCAAAAATCCTCCAGGATACAACAGAACTCAAACTCTCTCAAAAACTAGATGTAGAACTTTGACTTTGCATAGGAATTTATATTGATTGAAAAATCACTACTTGTAGGATGTATCCCTTCAGAAAGATACCATTTTATAGAGGTACCTTTAGACTTTTAAAAGTTATCCAATATTCAGATATGCCTTTTCAGATTAAAATTTAATAAATTAAATTAAAAATCCGAAAATAAAAAATAAATATTTTGGAAGTCCCATCTTTGACTATATATAAAGGGCAAGGTCCAATTTATCTTGGGCTTCACTTTATTTATCTATTTGTTGATAACAAATAAACCTTTATAAATTCCTTTAACTTCTCATATTTTCTTGATGTGGACCTTAACATTTGCAAACTACTCAACGTAACATTACCAAAAATGTAGCATGGTTGAGTGCATTCTGTGATTGTTTATTCAAGTCCTACTTTGCTTACCCTGTAATCAACTGACCAGGTAAATGATGATTCAATCAAATCAAATACAAACAAAATCTTGAATGCATTAAGTATTATTTTTGTTTATAAAATAGATGATTAATAGCATCACTCTGAATTTAAAAACTTTTAAATACATAATTAATGAATTAATGTGCTACTAGACTATTGAAAAAGCTGATATCACCCAAGTAATTAGTTTGCCTCCTGGAAGTATAGATTGATTCTTAATTAAACTGCCATGAGATATTACTCTGTCATGCATGTCCATTATTTGGTTTCTTAGTTTTCCAGTTCTTTAATTGAACGAGCTTGGAGCTTGCAGATACAATAGAAAAAGATGCTTATCATTTTGCATTCTAACTTGGCCAAACTTCCGAACCCACCTCTTTCCTGAAAAATCATTAATTAGCCACAACTGAGTTTGGGTATAAGGTATGCCACTTGTTTTTTTTCAAAACAAGAAAATGGAATTTTTCATATGATTATTCTCATTTCCAACAGTCGATTTCCAAAAAAATGGTTGGAAAGATCGTCTATGAATTAAATTATGCCCCATATGACATCGTAAAACAAATGGTAGGATTTTGCAAAATGGATTATTAATTACCTTGAACACTTTTAAAGACTCTAAAACCACTAAAGTGTAAAAAAAACTATAAGTCTTAAATCTTAAATTAAACACAATATCCTAAAATAATTATCCTAAAAAAAAAAAAAAAAAAAAAAAACATGCCACATAAATAAATTTGCAGACAATATGTTGTGTAAAATTACAAACAATAATTCTAACTATACAAACCATAATAATTTCCTAGAAATTGAACTAATTACTTATAGATTTAAAACAAAGTCAATTAGACTATTTGAGTACTAAAACCAAAAGATAATTTACAAATTAATTAAAGTTTGAAAACTTATGAAGTTAAATCCTAATCTAAAAATTGAATCTTAACAAGTTGTAAGTCTATCTAGCAAGCAAAAACGATGAAGAGACGGCCGAAAGTATTCAACCCATTCACATGAATAGATAATAAAGATGAACCCATAGAAGAAAGAAAAACTAATCAAATCAATGGAGGAGACTCACTTACAAGGTTAAATTGCTTCAAAGTCCTTAAAAATTAACAAAAGTTGCAATCTTTAAAGATAAATATTATGAACAAGGATAAAAAACCTAAACTAAAACTAAGAACAAGAGTAGAAATTATAGTCTAAACTAGAAATCACGTTGAAATCTGGAAGAAAAAGTCTAAAAATTCAAGATGCATATGTGCTGAGCGGTTTGTCTGTAAGGTAAGTCGTGTGTCTGTATGTGTTGAATTGATTTTTTTCCTCTCTTTTTGTTTTTCTCTTCTATTGGATGATTTCCCCCATGATTCTTGCTTCTGCCTTCGCAAAAAACCTGTTGTAGAAGGCCACTGGCAATTGACCATTTACTCCAAATAAATCTCTAATAAAATCTAGATAAATTCTCCTAAAATCTCTCTACAATCTCCTAATTAGATTAAATTTTAACTACCTTAGAAGGCTTACCCTTTTTGGACTCTAGCCACCCCATCATAACTCATTTAGTCTAAAGCACAAATTACTTATGGGCCCAACTCAGTGCATGACCAATTCTCTACAAATGTGACCCAATTAATCCTAAAAGGCATACACATGTCCTCTCCCTGTTTAGCTTATTTTATGTGTGAACACCACCCTTTAAATAAGAGAGTATGAATAGATCTGCCTCTAAAAAAAAGACAAGAACAAATTACTTTAAATTATCGATTAGGACAAAGCATCCATTATTTAACATATAACATCAATTTTTTGTTTAAAACATATTTAGGTGTCAAATGGATTTTTAATATAATATGTTAAATAATGAGTTATTTATTTTGTTAAATAATTTATAGGGGTAATTTATCTCTATTTTTTTTTGTTTGAAAGACAAATTTATTCCTACTCTCTTATTTGAGGATTGGATTTGGGGTTCTAACTTCTAACTTTATGTATTTTTAGTTGTTTTATTCCAATCCATGAATATGAGTTTCCTTTTCACTGATTGTAGGATTGTCAAATTTTGATGATTAGGCTTGCCAATTGGTGTTATTATGATGTTGTATCTTGGAAAATGCATAGGATAGCCAATTTTTCTAACTAGTGTAATTCGAATTTCCTGTTCTCAATCTCATGTTCAATGAGAATTTATAGTAAACTTGTTGCTTATTTTTGGTTGTCAATGCATCAGCAGAATTAGAAACAACTTTTTTGGATGTGCTGTACATAAATTGTGCTTTTTGTGTTAGATCTTAGATATCACCTGTTTATTCTGTTTATATATGCAGCACCAGCTCAGTTATCTCGATGACAGTAATCTTGAAAAACAATCAACTTTCCTATGAGGAAATGTATTAAACAAAATCTAATGATCTAAACATAAAAAGATGTTGCAGCAGACTGTAGGCCCGTCTGGTATCGTTGTTGTTTCTCATTTGTTAAAATTTAGCAATCGATACCATATACAGGGTCTAAATTACTACACAGTATCGACTCTAAATATAAACTAATCAAAACACAACCACAATACTAAACGGGGTCTTTCTTTTTGAGTTGTTTAATTATATATATATATTTATACACCTGCTGTTCTTCTTCTTCTTTCTCTCCTGTTCCTATCCAGGCTTGATCTCATAATATTTTGCTTTTGCCAAAGAAAGAACAACAAAACAAAGCAATAAGCATAACATTTTGCTTCAGCTTCAGTATTTTGGAAGAAACCTGAAGGATAGAGCTTAAACTTGTAACCTATTTGTTGACTTGTGTAAATGGTCAAGAGATGGCTTTTGCACCTTAATTGTTAATCAAATCTCAAGATCTAATTTCAATCCATCATTTGGATTTTCCCCTCTGATTTAAAAAACTCCAGGATTGTCTAATTCGGATGTCAATTTTGCCATTATGTTGTTGTTATACCAAAAAATAGTCTTTGTCTGGAAAAATTGCTGAGTTTAGGCTGTCACCACCCACAGCCCACAGAAGTAAATTATGGTCGTACTAAGCCCAAAAATGAGCCCAAAACAATAAAAGTAGACAATGGGCCTTTTCTTTCGGGCCGATAAAAATAATGGAGTCAATGGATCTTTTCAGAGCCAAATTCATCTTTAGAGGCCTTATGAGGTTGAGAAAAAGTAGTAATGTCATAGTAAACATTATTACAATATCACGAAGGATTATAATTTTATAATCATAATATACCATTAAATAATTAAATATATAAAATATAAAAAGTGAACATTTAAATGAAAAAAGTTAATAATATAATGATAAAATATAATTGTTAGAGTGTGTTTAGAATTACTGTGAAATATTGTGATTATGTTTGTGGTTGTATTAAATTATATTGTGTTATAACTATAATTAAAAATTATTTTGATATTTGATTATTTATTTCTTAAAAGCATTATGAATGATATATGGCAAATTTATTAATTATTAATTAAAATTTAAAAACTATTATATAATATATAATTATTAAAATAGATAACATTTATTAATTCGTAATAATTTAAGTTTTTTAAATTCTATATGATGTTTGTTCTTTTGGGTTTTATGGGGAGTAACTCACAAGGAGAGAATGAGTTTTTAATTTTTTTATGAAATTTTCAAATAAATGAGATGTGAGGTTTAAATAAAGGATTATAAATTGTGATGTAATTGAATTAAATAAGGTTGGATTTTAATGAGTAATTTTATAATTATATTAAATATTAAATGTTATTTGTAAAAGTGTAGCTATAAAGCTTCAAAATGAGTTTTTTGGTTTTATGTATAAATTTGTTATCAATTTACTATAACGTTTTATAGTTTTTAGAAAAAGTAATCTAAAAAAATTATTAAATGCATATATATCTAAAAGTATTATATGATTAAAAAAAATAAAAAAAAACCCTCAACTTGAAACCTGAATGCAACTTAAACTAATAATATCATATAACATTATAATTATATTATTTTCATAATAATTATAATTCCAACCAAAAAATTATTATATTCCTTAAACGATTATCATTTCTTCATCTAAAGATTGTCTCTATCTCTAGTAATATG